AGAGGTTTCTTACATGATCTTCAACTTTCTGGATTCACTTGCCTTCTTGCTTCTGCGGAGGAGTGTCTTCTGGCTCTTTATGTTCCAAATCTTTTACTTGATTCTTGCTATCTTCCATTCTGTTTTTAGGACTCTGTATACTATTTTTTTTATTTCAGACAATGTGTTCTTTATTTCTTGTTGATCCCTTATTATTTCTTGTTGATTTCTTATTATTTCTAGTTGATCCCTTTTCATATCCTCATAGGTCTTATCTATTTTAGGAAATTCTTGAAAAAACCTTATAAGCGTGGTTTTGAACTCTATATCCAATCACTTTTTGTCCTCCATTTCTTTCGTTTGTGATCTGTTTCCTTGTCTCGGCATTTTCACAGCTTCCCTGAGTTGGTAGCCTTAAAGGTCTCTGTGTTCTGCTTGGATGGGGCGGTGTTTCAGGGTGGAGCCTACAGCCTTGGCTTCTGTCAGCCACGCCCTATGCGGATCCTGAGTTTCAGCGTTTCTCAGGGTCCTTAGGTACTCGCTGCAAGCACCTCTGAGAGTGAGGTGCCCTCGAGTTTCACCTGCTACCAAACAGTCTAGTCTCTCCCCCAATGAGCCCGGAACTGGGGTTCAGTTCAGTTGGAAGTGGAGTTGGAGGTGGTGTTCAGAGCAGTCTGGAGCTTTTGTCTCCTTCCTGCCAGGGCAATCCCACAGCACAGCCAACCGTCTGTTCTCTGGGCACAATGTGCGTGCCTCCAGGACCTCCTTTCGCTGCTCCCCTGGGGTTCCGCCTTACAGCCCAGCTCCCTCTGTATGAGCCTGGGTCCCTGGGGTCTGGCCTAGAACTGGGGTTCAGAGCAGTCGGAACTGGGGCTCAGCACAGTCCCGAGCTTTTATCTCCTTCCCGCTGCTAGGAAACGCAGGCACTCAGCCTCCCCCTCCTCTCCGGCTCCGTCCTCTCTGTGTGCAACGTGTCTTCGTACCTTAGGCTTTTACAGCTCCTCTGATTTTCCTTCTGGTTTTCTCTTTCCTTCTTGTTGTAGAATTTCCAGTCAGTCAACTTTCCTGTAGTTCTGGGTAATGTCCATTTTATATTTTAGTTGTATTTTATTGAAATTGTTGTGTGCAGCTGCGGTTAGGTGTTTACCTGTGTAGCCATCTTGGATTCCTCCTCCATAACCTCCATATTTTAATCCCTTGACTATCACACAATGTTACTAGAAATGTAAACCTACATGTAAACACTCATTCATGAGAACTGAAAGGTCTACCTAGGAGCCATTATTCACATCATTCATGCCAACAGCAGCCTACCCCAATTTTCTTTCATTGGCAATACCATAACAGCCTAAGTTCTATAATACTTCCCTTCAGCAATCTGAAGACCATTAGAGTATTACTAAAACAAACAAAAAGTTATAGAATAATCAAATTCTCATTCTGAATGCAATCTGAGGCAACAGGGAATGCTTAGTTTCTAACAGAATAATTACTGGTATAGTAGACAGAGTATTAAAGCTCTAAGTTATGATTTAGGCTCTTTCATTAACAATCCTGATCTATTATTGTGCTATTTTATGCTATCTCATGCAATAGCAATTAGTCACATATGGCTAACAATCAGCTGAAATGTGATTAGTGTGAATTGAGATGTGCTGTAAATATAGGATACTCACCAGATTTCAAAGACTTAGTAAATATATATATACACCGTATTTTCCGGCGTATAAGACGACTTTTGAAACGAAAAAAAAGTCAACCGAAAATCGGGGGCAAAAGACCAAAATCGCACAAAAATTACCTGCAGATCTTGACAGCAAAGTAAGTCTTTTCTTTGAAGTGGGGGGTAGCCTTATACAGTGAATATAGGCCTAAACCTATGTTTTAACTGTAAAATTAGGGGGTTGTCTTATACACCAGAAAATAATTTTGTAGTGATAGTGTATTATATTATACTGGAGGCCCATTGCATGATATTTGTGCAAGAATAAGCCTTCCTTCCCCTGGCTTCACTCCCAGCTGCCCGGGAGCCAGCACATCCCTGCTCCCTGGCCACCCAGGAGCTGGCAAGTCCTCGCTTCTGTCTGGAGCACTGCTCCTGTAGCTCCCTCTGCCACCCTCCTTCCCACACATAGCAGGCATCCCACCTCTCCCAGCTGTTCTGTGCTTGCATATGCAATTTAACCCATCATTTTTGTTGGGTTAATTTGCATACTCACACTGATTGGCTATGGCTGTACATTCAATTTACATGTTTGTCTATTTTTTCCCCCATTTTTTATTAAGGTATTATATATGTACATATCTTACCATTGCCCCTTCCCACTCCCATAAATGCCCTCCCTCCCCAGAGTTTTGTATCCATTGGTTATGGTTATATGTATGCATTTAAGCCCTTCAGTTGATCTCTTATCTCCCCCATATCTCCCTACCCTCCCCGACTAGAGGCCCTATGCATGAAATTCATGCAAGAGTAGGCCTTTACAGCCCCAGCTGCGTTGGCTGTCACAGCCCTCCAGTACAAAAGGCTTCATCTGGAAGGTTGTCTAGAAGGACATTCAGACAGTCATTCTGCTGTTCTGCAGTTTGGTCGATTTGCATATTATGCTTTTATTATTATGGATATTATATGATAGTATTTTGAATAGATTGGATTAAATAAAATAGACTAAAATTAATTTCACTTTTACCTTTTTTTAAACTTTTTTTTTAGTGTGGCTAGTAGAAAATTTTTAATTATATGTGTGGCTTGCATTTGTGTCTCACAATATAGTTCTACTGGGCTGTGCTTGTCTAGAACAATTGTTCTCAATATTAAAGATTCTGTCTTGACCAGCCTGGAACCTAGGTTTTAGTGTTTGTTTTTTAAACTACTCAAGGGAATAATTTCATTGGGCAACTGAGAACCAATAGACTAGACTCTATATTATGTATTCTTGGGCCAGTCAATGGCGTTCTTAAACATTAGAATCAGCCAATCCAAGTGGCTGCTTCAATTTTGCTCAGAGGAACACTCCTCCTGGCCTTGAATGTAGCAGCATCAATACCAGCTCATTTATATTATAAAGCCTGGCTCTGTCATTTGCCTCCCAGAGCCATTCTGCCTTGCTCAATCATTTTGTCCCACCCCTTGAGGTACTGTTTATTACAAAAATAAAATTTCACTAAAAGTGAAATACATTTGGATTTGGGTGACATTGTCACAAGGTGCAATTTAATCCTTCTTTTAAAGAGGGCGGGCTGTCATTCTAAGACACACAAGCTGTTTGTATACAGGGCCTCAAAGACCCATGGCTATTGATGTGCTCTTTTTTACTACCCCTGGGGTCATCAATGAACAAAGCTGAGCTGAGAAACAGATGGCATGTGAAAACCCTGGTGAAAGATGCCACATATATAGATAAAGAAGATTGGATATTTCATTAGGACATTCTCAGGGCAGAGGGGATAAGAGGTCACTTTGTCCACTTCTCTGTTTCTGACAAGTGCCCTCAGCTAAATCGTTCCAACCAGTTAACCGTGCTTCCTAGGTTTGCACCCTCCAAGGAAGGAGACTTATTCCAACCAATATGACCAGCCTTAATATATAGATCTTTTTGGATCTAATAAGGAGTTGGTAGTGATGAGGATGAGGATAAAGATGATAATTAAGTATATTAGCATTTTTCAAGTACCCACTATATACCAAGCACTGTGCTAAACACTTTACTCATATATGTGGTTTTATTTAATCATTGTAAAAAGTCTGCTATTCCTATTGTTCAGATGAGAAAATTGGGTCTCAGAGAGGTGAAAAGTCTTACCAAACGCCATAGAGCTAGAAGGTATGATAATAAAACTGAGACAACCTCTCAGTTGTCTGATTCAAAATACCCTGCCCCTTCCTTCATGCCACACAGCTGTCATTCTAATCTCGAGGCCCTTCATCATCCAAAAGTCGAAACCACTCTGATCTTTGGTTTGGGTCAGGACTTGATCCTTATTTTACAGAAGAAATTAACAGAAGGTGATAGGCTGTGGTAAGGATAATGGTAAGACATCCTTACATGACATGGGTACTTTGGTGGTCACAAAGTTGTAGTTTTTTTTTGTTGTTTGTTTTACATGTATTTTCTCATTCATTATGACATCCCCGAGCATGAAAGTATTGCCAAGATCATTTTGTGGATGGGGAAAATCAGAGCTCATAATACCCAAAGATCAGATTCAAGCACTTACTTCTTAGATATGGTCAAAAGCTGGTCACCAGGCCAATGCTCTTTTCCCATATCATCTTACTAATTGGTGACCCAGAAGAAGTATTATAGTAACTGCTAAAGGAGCCCGCTTTCAATAGTTCCTTTTGTTAAGGGCCAGGTTCTTCATGGTACAATGTAAAATGGGCCAAGCCTTTGCAAGCCCAATCAGGCTGATTGCTTCCCACCCACAGCACATCTTAAATACCAGTCGCTTGAGTCTCTTGTAAAAAGTAAGTTTTCAATCAGTAAACTATAGCCCCTGAGAAAATAAGGAGCCCACACTCATACATTAACAACTGAATACAATCCTGAGACAATACATAGGTGTGTTCACACTTCCCAAATTGAGAGAAAGAAAGAAGAGTAAGGAGGAGAAAGGAGGGGAGAGATATGTAAAAAGAAAGAATGAAAAAGAGGAGACAAGGACAAAAAAAGACAGCAGAAAATAAGAGAGGTAAGAAAGTAAAATTCACAGAAATATGGTTTTAAAAGGTCTTAAAAAAAACATCAAGGCCAAAAGGGAAATGATTTGTATAAAGTCACAGCAGGAGGCAGTAGGTGGGGATTGTTAAAATAAAAAAGAAACAAATTAAAAGTTTCAAAATTAGAAAGTAAAAAAATTAAAGGAAGCCTAGGTCTTGGGTAGGAGACCACAAAAAGAAGTAAAATGTGAGAGGAGGAGCCTCCATGAGATAAATGACCAATAGAACAGGGGCTGGTGAGGGGAAATCCGGGGGCAGGCAGCCAAGGAGACAGGAGAGGAGAGTGAAGGCTGACACTCACCCTCACAAAGCTGGCAGGAAACCATCCCTCCTCATCGTCGATCTGGCCCCACCACCAATCCTTGTTGGAAGCATCCAAGACTTTGATGACGTCGCCAGCCTTAAATGCCAACTCCCGGTTGGCCATGGTGACGTGATCCCATACTGCCTCAGCACTAACGATGGAATCTCCAGTGATCAGCTTAGGAGACAAAATGAGAATGTTTTCAGTCCACACAGCTGGCTATCTTACTTGCCCCCTTATCCCACCCACAAAGCTCTACTACTTTATGGGGAGTCACATACTAGTGGTAAAGACTGGGGGTAAGAGAGATGGCACTGGAAGTATAAGCACCACTAAACTATAAGGCAAACAATACTGTCAACTACATTAGCCAGTGAGTGGGATGACCCAGAATGTGAATATGGACTACATAGGCCTCATGTTTTTATCCCTACTCATTATCTCCTCCCCCAGTGAAGAAAGAAAGCACCCGTCCATCTCTCCTTGGAGTTTCAAGGCATCTGAAGCTCTGGAAGGGGTAGAGAGACTGAAATCCATGCTAAAATGAGGCTTGAGAACATTTGCTCAAAATTCTCTGCACTCCTCTCCCTTTCCTTCTCTTCACTGTAACTGACCAACTGAGAGTTGGTGGTACATTTTTAACACCACTGTATCCCACCCCCAGAGGTTACAGACCATGGCATTCCTCACATACAATGGACCCCAGTCCTGCAGCCTCCTGGTTGCCACCCACACATGATGCCATCAGAGAGGTCATGGGTTTGAAAGAATATGGCTTTCTGTGATGACTTGCCCCAAAGAAACTCAACCTTGGCACAGATTCAATCAGTGATTTGTACAACCACCCTATGATACACATAGAGAGGTGTAGGTTGATTTCTGCATTTAATAGATGGCAAAACTGAGCCAGGGGAAATTAAGGGGTGAGCTCAGGGTCACCCAGCAAGGCTGGGGTTGTGAACAAACCCTAACACTGGTCATTAAACTTTGTGGTCATTAGGACTGGGCTCCACATAGCATCAGGCAGACATCTATCTCTCTGACACATGAACACACACATGAACATGTTCACAACACTCATCTAATGAGGATGGGGTAGAGAAATAGTATGCCTCTTTCTGGCTACCATCCTGTTCACTGTATTATTTGTTCTCTTTTTTCCTTAACTGGTTTCTGCCAGCATGGTCCATGAGTCTCCCTGGCATTTGCAGAAACAGATTCCAGAATAGAGAACATATGGCCTGTCAGGCAAAGGATTCAAATACTCTCTCCATAGCAATGAATAGCTGAACATTTCCTCTAGCAGTCACCTTTTTCATCAGTCTGCTTTGAGGAAGGACTAATTTCCCAAGGCAACATGGCTCTTGACAAAACAGTTCAAAGACAACAGAAACAGGATATGGAACATAATATCCTGTCACATAGGTCTACCTTCCAACATACCAGCCAGAAAATAACACTATTGGTCAGCTCCTGCCTCATGCATCCTTCATTGCTCAAGTTTCTAGCTATTGTGCCTTCCAGAGAAGGTAAGGTATGGTGGAGCTCCTCAGCATGGATGTAAAAGAGATTTCCAATAGGACCTTTTATAGCACCACCTTTCAAGTACCTCATGATTTACTGTTTACAAAGTGCTTTCAAATCTACTGCATCACATGATCCTTCCTGAATGAACTGTTTCCATATTTATTAATATGGAATATTATGGGATAAAGATGAAGAAACAGGTTCAAAGAGGCGGCCTGGCCCTTTGGCTAATCACACAAGCAATAAATTATGGAGTCTTATAACCCATCATACTGCACTACCAATGTTTACTAATTAGCTATACTGCATTCATATAACTCCATCCATAATATCATAAACCAGATGGCTCCTATTCTTAAAGAACTCAAACAAAGAGAGTTGAACAGCCACCGTCAATGATGCTCCCACCTATGAGGAGATTTATTTTTATGTTGAACTTGCTTTTTTCTAACTACACTAGAAGTCAATTTCTTCTTGTTCTCGTCTCAGTGGAGAATTGCTGATCACTGGCCTCAATAAAGTAAATCATTATAGAAAAGTCTCTATAGGTACATATAACACCAACTCAGAGCATCATGAAGGTTTGTGGTTTAAAGCTACACCCTTGGCTTTTTACCAAGGGTCAAAAGAATATATTAGTATCAATTACCAACACCCTGTTCAGGATGCTATCTGTGGTGCTGTTTGAGGACCCCTAAGCCCAAATCTGGTTGATTTCACTGTCTGTGCTCTTTCTACAGTGGACTTTTCTTATTAGGGACTCTTTGCTCAGGAGCAGTTGCCTCACTCTTATACCCATTTAGTCCAGTTGACTTGTCTGGGACCTCAGGCCAGATAGCCCAGCTATGCCCTGGTCAAACCAATCCAGTACCCAGTGGCCACAAACCAATGGGCAAACCTACTGTCAAGACCTACTTGGAATCAATTATAGTCAGAACTATATAGCATTTTAAAGATCATCACCCATCAACCATCATTTTGTAAATCAGGTATACTATAGCAGATGTGACCTGTTTATGGTCATCATGTGGACCTATTTCTGGACCTATTTTGCCCCAATATAACACTGTATATAGAGGAGGCAGAAAAAATCAACTGGATTTAGGACCTTGCTCTACTTCTTGCTAAAGATATAATAATAATGATGTTGATATAAAGTACTTACTAGTAATAGGTCAGTCTCTATTCTAAGCACTTTACACACCTTAACTCACTTAAGACTCGCAACAACCCTTTAAGGAGATACTAATATTATTACTATCTTACAGATGAAAAAACTAAAGCTCAGAGAGGTTGTTCACATTTACACAGCCAACAAGTATTGAAGCCATAATTAAAATGCTGACTCACTCTAGCTCTAAAAATTATGCTTCCTCTGAGCCTCAGTTTATTCACCTGATAAATGGAAATTCTATATCCCCACTTATTTCATGAGCTGTAAAACACTGAATCAAGAGTTGACAGATGTGTGTTCATATAATGAGAGTAGGATTAACCTGAAAGAGATGCTAGGTGTATAGGGCACCTGTGCTCTCTATTCACAAATATAAGCAGGAGTCAAGTGATGCTTCCCCCCACCATCCTCTGAGTTCTTTTAACAGTTAACTAAATTGGGGCTGGAAGTTGGTTTTAAATCTCTTTTTGTGTGTACAGGATTGATTTTTAACTTGCTACACTTTTCCCCCCACAAATAAGCACTTTTCTCTGCTCATCCATTTATCATCCAACTCTCAATCAAGTGAACTCCCACTAGGTGTAGGGCTCTACTTACTGTGATTCAGTCATTGTCCTTACTAATGTCAAATGCTCTTTGAGTACCATCAGTGAATTCCCTTCAAGGAGTATGCAGAAGTCATTAAGGGCAGGTAAACCTGGCTTCAATTTCTGGGCTTTGCTACTTTAGAAAGCAGCAGTGACAAAGGGAGATGAAGAACAGACAAAAAGCCAGAAAAACAAACCAAAATAAATGTTTAGCATGTAATTGGAATATAAAAAAATACAATACCTGCCTCACAGGCAGAATTATAGACAGGGTGAACTGAGTGCTGAATGTCCAGTGACTAGTACAAAACCTATATATGCTGGTCTAGTTCAAGATTTCAGAGGAAGGAAGGATCATATGTGCTTACTGGACTCTAGAAGTGTTGAGGGGCACTTGATACAGGCTTTAAAAATGAATAGGATTATAAAATATACAAAAGGGAACAGGAAGGGTATTTGAGGCAGAGGAATGACATTAAAGTCTCAGAGGTGAAGACTATGTGAGCTTTGATGGCAAATGCAGAAGTTTAAAAAAGGCTGGAAAAGGGCAGTTGGGGGTGGAAGGATGGCTGAAAAGGTGGGCTGGAGTCTGTATGAAGGTTCTTAAATCTAGCTTTAGGAAAATGAGGAAGTCCAAATTGATTTGGTGTGTGTGGGGGGGAGGGGGGGATTCAATCCTAAACATGATCATTAAAACATGAGGGTAAGTTACTCTACAATGCTAGCTTAGGAGGGGAAGAAAGATGACAAATATTCTCTTTAATTTGTAGACTGTAGGGGCCAGCAATATATGCAGGTAGGTTTCAAGGTCAAGAGAGGTTATAGGAAATAGCTATACAGGTTTAGGAGTCCATGGCCCAGAAGAAATTGTGGAGACCAAAGAAATTTGCCCTGGAAGAAAATGCTTAGAAAGAAGTCCAGAAACCTAGGGCAACAACAACAATGGGAGGTAAGGATAAAAAGAATATCCAGAGAAACAAAACTAAATAGAGCTGTCATCACATAATTAGAATGCCAAGGAAAACAATCTCACAAAAGCCAAGGTCAAGAGTTTCAAGCAGCAGGATCTGATCAAATTATCAAATGGTACAAAATATAAGAAAGAAAAGCCAAGAAAAGGCCATTTGAGAGTAGTTAAGTCAGGGGTTAAATGCTTTATTTTAAAAAAACTGGTTTATATCCCTCCCCCAACCCAAAGTCCAAATTCCCCATCTGTTCCAATCCCTTCAGCCTACAAGCCCAACATAAACCCAGGAGGTACAACTGGTTCACTCCATGAAGGTACCAAAATGGCTCTGAGCCTTGGGACAGTGCTGTTGTGACTTCTAAGAAAATAATTCCCAATCCCTAGGACATTTCAGATGTAGTAATTGTAAGTTGGTTCTTGCTCAGACTTGCTAGTGAGTGGGACACACAGTGTTCCGCAATCCCACACTAAAGCCACTTTTGGATATGAATAAAAAGATGGGGATGGAGAAGAGTCATAATATAATTTATAAAGAAGGAATGAGCTCTTATTCCTTTTTATTTAATTTCCCCAAACAATCCTCATTTCAAATATTCTATCCCATTGATTCTAAAAATATATACATATGTTATCAGACCCATGAACCCTGACTTTTAACCTGGAAATATGTACACCATACCCCGGAGACATTCAGAATTTGTGGTTTCTGATCAACAAGGCATGCATCTACAGCTAACTTGGAATAGCCAGTGAGCCCTTTCAGCAGGAAGGAAAGAAGACAGTGATCCCATGCCACCCCATAAGTTTGGTTCCCTGCCTGTCTATAACGCCTTTCTCAGTGGTTGGTATGTCTGAAATAAAGGATTTGGGGTCATGTAAGGAGCATTCCAAATGCAAGGCCTTGCCAACTCAGAAAAAAAAC